CGAAACCGCGTGAAAACACTCAGAAGGTCCATACGCACCGATCCGGACAACTAAGGGCCATATTGGCCTATGCGTGGCCCCGTGAGGGCCGTCCGGGACAACCTAACCAACCCATACATGTACTTATGTACATATATTTTAAAACTATTGATTATAAATATGCATTACTAATAGATATCATTCTAGGTGGGGAACATGGATATGCATTAATTAATTCGAATTTTTTAAATTAAGTCATATCAAGTCGACTCAAAGGTCAGATTAACTTTTGACCCCATTATAGTTTATATATAATGTCCTCCTCATGGTGTTCCCTGAGTACCGATCTTCAATCGGGAGCCAATATGAGCGGCGACTTGATGTAAATATGTACAAAAAATACATATATGTACATACATACATATACAGCCATGTGATTAATAATAAGGACACTTGGCCATGCTTCAGAAAATACTCTATAAAAGCTATTTCTGGAGTTTTGTGGTGATCTTAATTTTTATTATAGTAGTTGTCTCCATAAAAGTAAAAACCCATAGGTGAAAATGTGGACAGTTATTTGTACAAGTTAGAGGGTTTGGTCTTAAACTATTGATTGTAATTAGCTTTTGGTATAAAAACATCCATAAAACAAAGTTTATATATTAGGGTGGGGGGACGTGTAGTCGATACCAGGCGAAGTAGGTTTGAGGTTCTGGTTTCCAAGGGTATGTAATGCAATAACATTTATTTAGGAGGAAACACAAAAATATTCGAATTCTGGAGAAATGTGTGGTTGTGGGAGACACATTTAAAAATTCTTATATTAAAAAAATCTATGGGGACCCCTAAAATATGTATCTTACAGCTAACAATAGTCCAAGAGACCCCAAAGTTCCGTGTCTATTGATATCGATATACCAAAGATGATGATGGTCGCTGCGGACCATGAACCATGGGCCTGTGACTAATAGCGCAGCATCTTGGTCGAATAGACAAAATGTAATGTTTTCTACTTTATTTGAAAGCTCAGCATGTGGAGACCAATAACACAATTTGAGACTTAAACTATTACATAATTATGGATGGGGGTGCATGGTTCATGGTCCGCAGCGACCATCATCATCTTTGGTATACGATATTCAATAGACAGGAACTTTTTGGGGCCTGTTTTGTTAGTGTAGTATTATCATTTTGGGGTTGCCATAGTTTTTTTAATTATAGTTTTTAAATGTGCTTGTACGTCCAATTTTATTGGAATTTTTTGTTTTTTTCTGTGTTCCCTAAATAATATGTTTTATGCTTTCATTACTTCCTGGGCAGTTGGAATTCGTTCGCTTGGTTTTTCAGTCCATGGGTATCGGCTTGGCCCTTCCCTATTACTTGTTTTATGAGTTTTTTCTAAATTCAAAGCTAATTCAACATGTTGCCGCGCGTGTCAGTTTTGGGTCGCAGCGGGGCCGCTTTTTTATTTTTTCACCATGGGTTTTTTTTATGGGTACTATAATACGGAAGGAGTGTGAGTCGCTTCTGGGGCGACTCTCTATACCCGTACTCAGTCAGCATATACATTTTTAAGCATATAATTTTTAGAACTTAAAAAAGATTTTACATTTTACATTTTTTTGCTCATCTGTTATCTACATCTACATATACTATTTATATTATACATCTAACATGTATATTTACATGTACCATTTAGATTCTATCCCCCGCTGGGTTGCCGCGCACTGAACGCGGCAGGTGTGGGCGAGGGAAAATGAGTTGTGTTGTCTCCGTCGTGATGGGGGGGGAGGAACAAATAATTATTTCATTCTGGCTATAATTATGATCCGATCTAGTTCAGATTTGGCAATCTGGTAGTATGGGCCCCGATACTGGTTTTGTTTTACGTATCTTTAAATTGTGCCTGCCACAGATTTTCGTCCTTTGTGTGGGGGAAGGGGGCGGGGGAAATCTGAATACACTTGTAGCAGTGGATATCACATAAGTTGGAAACCAAATTTGGTTTCGCTAGCCTTTAGTCTCTGAGATCCAGGCGCTCATCGAGACGGCAGACGGACAGACGGACAGACGGACGGCGGCGGGACGGACGGCGACGGACAGACAGACATGGCTATACGCTCGGCTATGTGCTGTCGTTATATCTTTTGGGGCGGAAATTTCCCCCGTTCACACACCACTTTTACCACAACTAATATACCCCTTAAGTACAGGTATAAAATTAAGATCACCCCTCCATGCATTTTTGGTTTTCAGCTGGCCAGGTCCTTATTATTAATCCGCTGTATGTATATAACATTATTTTAGTTCATATCACTTTTTTTATATGTAACTAGCGGACCCGGTGAACGTTGTATCGCCCCATTTTATCGCCTTCAGATAAACTCCACATTGATTAATCCAACAGACTACACTAGTCAACACGAGAATTAGGCTGTGGACCAAAATGACTTTTTCTTATAGATTTCGGGGTTTCAAATTTTTTAACGAATTATGGTTTTTTTATGGTTTAGTTTTTTTTTTAAGAATTTTTTAAAATCTGGTATTTTTTTAATGTTTTTTTTCAGAGGTAGTGCATCTATTTTTCACATAACTTAAGTATCTTATATCTGGTTGCATAGAACTTTGCAGTTCTGAAAAGCTGAAGTGCAGCTATAAATCCGACCCAGACTATTTGTATCTGCAGCTTTCGACATTCCCAATTGGTAGTTGGGCCCGCAACCTTCAAAAATGTATTTGTTGTTCATTTTTTAGGTTTGGTTAACGAATTTTAGCTCCAAAGTTTCTCCATAGATTTTAATACCTAAAACGACGCCTAACGACGGCCAAGAATTATTTTTCTTTCGACTTTTTAGTTTTTAAAGTCAAAATTTCGAAAAAAAAAAAAATACCGCAAAAAATGATGAAATTTTAATTTGAAAGCTTAATATCTTCCAGGCGTTAAGCTGCAGATACAAAGAGTCTGGGTCGGATTTATAGCTGTATTTGTCAGCTTTTCAGAACTGAAAAGTTCTATGCAACCAGATATAAGATACTTAAGTTATGTGAAAAATAGATGCACTAATTTCAGGTAAAATTATTTTTGAGTCGTCTAGGTCAAACGGCTGCAAGTTGACCGTTTATCCATAGATTTTAATGAGCAATACCTTAAACAAGGCATAATTAATGCGTCTATTTAAAAATAAAAATGTTGGCCAAGAATTATTTTTTTTCGACTTTTCACGAGTTTTTAAAATCAAAATTTCGAAAAAAAATACAGCAGAAAATAATAAAATTTGAATTTTAAAGCTTAATGGATATAACAGATATAAGATAGTTAAGTTATGTGAAAAATAGAAGCACAACCTCTGAAAAAACCATGAAAAAAATACCAGATTTTAAAAATTCTTTAACAAAAATGACAACATAAAAAAAAAGTACTACAAAAATCTTTAAATCCCGAAATCTATCAGAAAAAGTCATTTTGGTTCACAGCCTAATTTTGTCGAGTAGTGTTATTTGCAGTTTTGTTTTTTCAACAAATTTTTCTTTTAGCCCTAGGCAACTGCTAATCCGGCCACGGACCAATTCCTGTCGCCAGACTTCATATTTTGTTGGTGTATTCTGTCGCTCGACTTGACGCGGGTCGAGGCATTGACGAAGTCGAAGGCAGATGCAAAGGCTAGCCTAAAAGAGAATGGAAGAAATACCCCGCGAGCCCGTCGCAACATTATCTCTGCAAAACAAAACGAAAAACCGAAATTTAGTTCAAGCGGCCAAAACTTGTAGAGCCCACACACAAGCATAGTATGTGTGAATACATGGCACATACACATTTACGTAGCCTGGAAACGACTCAAAACAAACTCAAAACGTTTTCGGAAAATAAGACTTGATAAATATTTTGTCGTGCCTGTGTACACACATACATTTGCAATTCTCCGCTTGCTTTCGTATCTCGTCATGAATCGAACATGTCGAAAAAATGCCGAACGTCTCAGGTCCACGACCCGAACGTCGCAGGTCCACGACCAGAACGTCTCAGGTCCAGCATCCGAAGACCTGGGGACCTGGGACAAAAAACTCAGCTGCGAAACGTTCGGTGTATGAACATCTATATATGGCACATCTATATATTTTATGGTTAGTGATACTATGCTTTAAGTGGCCAAAAATTGTAGAACCCACACACAAGCACAGTATATGTGAATACATGCCACACACACATGTACGGTACCTGAAAACTCAAAACGAAAACGGTTTCGAAAAATAAGAATTGATAAATATTTTTTGGTGCTGTGTACACACATACACTTGCAATTCTCGGCTTGCTTTCGCATCTCTTCAAGAATCGTACATGTCGAAAAAATGCCGAACGTCTCAGGTCCACACCCGAACGACTCAGGTCCACGAGTCGAAGACATGGGGACCTGGGACAGAACATTCAGCTGCGACACATTCGTTCTATGAACTGGCACATCTATATACTGTATGGTTAGTGATAGTATCCAGCGCCGCGGAATCTAAAAATTCCTATCAAACTTCATATAAAAAAAACTGTGGCAGCAATTTTTCGCTTATGTTTTCCTGGAGTGTGTATCCAGCAACACGAGCGGAGCAGAATTATATCGATAGTTGCCTATCGGGACCGTGTGTGGACTGAGAGAACAGCTGATACCCAGCTTAGGAATATATACTTTACAATTCTTCCTGGAGTGAATGGTGCAAGATGTAGGCAAAAACTGTGCGCAAAACCAAAAAGAGAGATGCAAATTATTCTTCGTTGTTTTCCAACAATGTATGCTGCCACCGACACAATCACTTGATCGTCAGAGTTCATTTTTTTCCTTTTTTAATTTCAGTTGAATTTCACAATTGGCTCTGTTTACAAAACACAGCTGATTCATCAACCCTGTTTTAGCTATGTTCCACACCCTCACGGAATAACTAGCAAATTCCTGGCAGCAATGTTCCGGTGCTGGAGACAGGCCTTTAACATGTTTAGGGAATAAACTTTAATCTAGATAATATAATTAATTTACCAGAAGTGAAAACATTTTCAAGTAATGTTTGGCAGTCTCCGAAGCACATAAATGGAAACACTATGTACACATAATTTTTATAAACAAAACAGTGCAGGATGGTATTTATATTTTTATGTTTAAACTGTCGAAATTTTAAAACATCTTCACATATCATTGCCAGTTTATCCGCTTGTTGTTCCACTGAAATCTTCTTAATAACTACACATTTATTTTTATTGAGATAATTTGCTTTATATAGTGTTCCAAATTTTCCAGTTTTAATTGTAGAGTTTAATTTATAGTCGGATATATTATTGGTAAACATGGTAAGGTAATAAATGCAATTTTGACTCTGTTACAAAGCAGCAGTATATTATCGATGAAATATATATAGTATCGATGAAATATTCGGTCTGACCCACAAGAATATACCATCTATACTATCTCATTTTCAAAACATACTGAAAATATATTTTTTTTTATTTTAGCGCAGTACCACTAACCATATACCCTTTTTACACTGCCGCATCATTGTTGAAGGTGAGGAAAAATGATTCGAGGCTTTTACACCAAAGCCGCATCTTTTTCGAAGCATCTGTCAGCTGTTCGGCCTACTACTAATGTAAAAAAACTCGGTAAGCAAGAAAAAGAGAGCAAAAGTATTTTTATAGATATTTAAAGAAATTATCAAAATAATTTCAGTATTTTGTAAAAATACTAGACTAGACGGCAACACTTGCATATGATGCGCCGCATGATTAAAGATGCGGCCGCATCATTGTCTTCTTTTATCCACAGGGCCCTGATGGGCATCATTGTCGCATGTTCCATTTAACGGAAAATCAAATGATGCGGCGCAGTGTAAAAAGGGTATTATATCTGGTTGCATTGAACTTTGCATAGAACCGCAAAATAAATGAAGAAATTCGAAGTTGAAAGCTTTAGTCGGACTTATAGCTGCATTTGTCAGCTTTTCAGAACGAATTTTTAAATTCAAAATTAAAAAAAAAAATACCGCAAGAAATGATGAAATTTTAATTTGAAAGCTTAATATCTTCCAGGCGTTAAGCTGCAGATTCAAAGAGTCTGGGTCGGATTTATAGCTGCATTTGTCAGCTTTTCAGCATTAAGCCTCTGAGAAAGCTAAATTTTAAGCGACCGAAAGTGCTATATACCTCGGTCCTAGTGTGGCAAGTTAATGTATGCTTTTACAACAGAAATCTGTTTGATTTCAAATGTTTTGCTGTGCGGTTTTTGTGGGCGCTGTGGAGCTGGAGGCGTAATGCACACGGCACTATTGAATAATCCGATCTGCGGAGTATTGCAATCAACAGGTTTTAATCTTCCTTTTCAGATTATGGTATTAATAAATAATAATATCCATACAATCGGTTATTCGCCCTAACTATTTAATTTATCTCATTTGCACTTTTTTAGCTGGCTTGACTGTTTCCTTCCATATTTAATGTGTGTGTGTGTGTGTGTTTGTGTCATGTCTTGCGGTTGTTTCAATGTTCCGCGTGGGTCCCGGTTGTTTTCTGTATGTATCGAGGCTTTTTCTCGGACTGAGTACCGGTCTGCGACGCGCCGGGGGATGTTCTTATCGGTTTCATCGTATCATCCCTGTTGGTCGGAAAAGCGCGTGAGTACTAGGCTTTACCTCTGAAAAAAAACTTTTAAAAAATACCAGATTTTAAAAAGTTCTTTAAAAAACAACTAAACCATAAAAAAAATCCTTAATTTGTTAAAAAAAAAGGTAAGCCCCGAAATCTATAAGAAAAAGTCATTTTGGCCACAGCGTAAATGTCGTGTTGACTAATTTTATTTAAATATTTCACTTGGTATTTTGTTCTTATGTTGCAATGTTTGCTCTCAGTTTGCTGGCAAAATATATCAAATTGATATAACTTTCGAGGGGGTTGAAACATACCAGAAATATCAGTGGCCTCGTCGGCAAAAGCAGTCCCTTAACAATGCTTACAGAAAAGCTTTCTCTTCGACAAGCGAGCACGCACTAAACGTTAAGGGACTGAAAACCGAACCATTCGGCCGTGGTGCTGAGACGTTCGGGTCGTGGACCTGAGACGTTCGGCATTTTTTCGACATGTTCAATTCATGACGAGATGCGAAAGCAAGCCGAGAATTGTAAATGTATGTGACGCGAGAAAATATTTATCAATTCTTTTTTTCCGAAACCGTTTTTGTTGTGAGTTTCAGGATACGTAAATGTGTGTGTTGCATTTATTCACACATACTGTGCTTGTGTGTGGGTTCTACAATTTATGGCCACTTAAACCGAAATTGGTTTTTTTGTCTTGTTTTGAGGGCTGATGTATCGACCTGGGCTAACCTGCCAAAACAAAAATGTGGAATGGGCAGAGTAGGTGGGGCTGGGTATGGGAAATTAATTAAAACTTAAAAATAAAATCTGTTATTTGTTTATTTTTTTGAAATTGCACACTTACATATACATATCCCTATTTCAGACAAGTTTATACTAAATTAAATGCGTATGTAAATAAATATTGTACAAATGCCTTCGACTTTGCAACTTTTTCAATAAATTCCTATTATTCAGAGAACTTTTCTATATACATATATTCCTTTTTCAGAGTATATATTTATACATGTATGCAAAGAATTGGTATATGTAGATTTTTACCTTAAGCCTAGTACTCAGATCGAAAAAATGTTTGCTAGCAAACAGATGTCATATATTTTTCGAGCGAACCTGCATTCCGAACGGTTACACTGCTCAGACCGCTGCTTGGTTTTGTTTAAAGTTAACAAAATGCACTTCTTCGCCTGGGGCCGCTCTTCCCCAGGCATATCCTGGGCTCCCCAATATATTATTGGCAAGGTAAAGAGTCTGACTATCAGCAGCAGCAGATGGCGACGCCACCCGTGCCGACCACCGTGAAGAAAAACTGTTTTGAAAGCAATATTTGTTTTATATTTATGAAAATTAATAAAAATATTATATTATAATATCCATATAATTGACCTTTATATAATGCTGCATTAATTAGATTCTATTTGTCTTCATTATTAAAATATTTCATTTGGTTTTTTGTTCTCTTGTTGCAATGTTTGCTTCGTATTTGCTGGCTAAAGATATCAAATTGATATCTTTTTCGAGGTTGGTCGAAACATACCAAAAAAACAAGCAAATACTTCTGATACTTTTCCAGTATATACCGACCTTTTTGTTTTTTGATCTGAGTACTGCCTTCCGTACAGAGCCTAGAAAACAGTTTTTGCCGTAAAACATTTCTTATCGGTTTCATACGAATATCAACCCTGATTCTGTTCGCGAGGTGTTTTTTCGATCTGAGTACTAGGCTTTAAATAAATTATTTATCATATACATTGATTGTTAGTTATGTACATAAATATTGTGCAAATTTCGTCGGCTTTCGACTTCGTTGCTGCCGTAATATCAACTTTTTCAATAAATTTACATATACTTTTCAGAGACCTGTTTTTACGATCCATATAATTGCACTTAAAGATCTTTTTATATATACGTACATATATGTAGATTATAGATGTGTATATTATAGCCAGAATGAAGAAATTCATTTTCATTTTGTTTCGCGTCTCAACTCTTGATGAAATGCGTCGAGCATTTGTCGATTGGTCGTTGTCATTCCTAACTGTATTAATACTTTGTTGGCATGCATCAAGCACATGTCTTCAATTAAAATTAATACTTTATTGTGCATTTCTTCATTATCATTTAAGGTTCTAACACGCTCCTGATGTAATATATCTTCGGCCATGTGATCTTTATATTTGTTCCATAAATCAATCGGTGTTGATGGGAAGCATGTAGACAAAAGTATGGCAAACAATGTTCGTATTTTGTTAGCATTTGACGAAATCACAGCATCTTCGAGAGTGTGGTCCCAATGAGTGTCATTCTCGAGCAGTGCCATACGTTGACTTGCTTCTCTGCATGTGCCGCACAATACACCATTAACAGTTCGCAGATGTTGGAATGATGTTGGGCCATGAACATTGACTCACAGTAAACGCAAATAAAACACTCGTTTTGGCTGGGATGCACTGTGTAAAGACGTCTTAGTGCATCTGTGGAAAATACTTGTTGGTAATTTGGAACTGGCTGTCCTTATTTTCGTCGTTGAAATTTCTTTAATGATTGATTCCAGGTATAATATCGTGGCATTTCGGAATTGTAAGTGTTCTTGTAAAGTCATCATTCTGGCACATTTCACCCTTTCACCATTTTCCAGATTTACGGCCAAATGAACAACAGTGGGGTATCTTTCATGTATTGGAAATGAAACGAGAAGGAACGTGTGAGTCGCTTCTGGGGACGCGACTCTACTTATACCCGTACTCAGTCAGTATATACATTTTTGAGCACTTGATTTTTTAGAATTTAAGAATTAAAAAAAAAAAATTTTACATTTTACATTTTTTTGCTACATCTGTTATCTACATCTACATATTTTATGTATATTCTACATCTAACATGTAGATTATACATGTACCATTTAGATTCTACATCTCCTCCGCTAAGGGTTGCTCGCGCACTGAACGCGGCAGAGTGTGCGAGCGAGAAGGAAAAGGAGGTGCGTGGTCGTTGTCAGGAGTGGGTAGGGGAAAAACTGAAAATTAATTTCTTCATTCTGGCTATAATTATGATCCGATCTAATTCAGATTCGGCAATCTGGTATGAATGTGCCTGCCACAGATTTTCGCCCTTTGTGTGGGCGGAAGGGGGCGGGGCGAAATTTTGAAATACACTTGTAGCAGTGTGATATTACATGAGTCTGGAAACCAAATTTGGTTGCCACTCTCACCAAAACAACGCCTCTCGCAACCGAAGCTGCGACTCTCTCAGCCGAAGCCATCACAACTCAATTACGAAGACAAAATATCAGCCGAAAGCTTAAGTTGATAAGCTTTATGCTTCCCAACAGAGGTCTCAAGATCAATAGCCCGAGAATAAGAAGACAGTTCCGTTTGAGACTTTCTAAAATTAAGTTGGGGAATTCATTATCATATCCTATGTTCTAATATAAGTTCGATTAAATAAAACATTCTTTTTAAAAAGCTAAGTTTTAATTTTTGAGTTTCTTCCCCCACCTCCGTAGAGCTCGCTCGCACACACTCTGCCCTTTGTAGTGCGTGACCTTTGCGTATAAGATGTAGAATATACATTGTAGATGTAGATGACAGGTTTAGTAAAAAAATGTAAAATGTCAAATTTTTTAAAATAATACATAAATCATAAGCTCACATATTTATATACTGACTGTGTACGGGTATAAAAGGAGAGTCGTGGCATCAGAAGCGACTCACACGTTTCTTCTCGTTTGAATAATATCCAGCAATATAATAATTGCTTTCAGATGACATCATTTGGCGCAACAAAAGTTATTCAAAACAATTTTATGACAACTTTCAATATTCAGGGTCAAATATATCATCTAACAGGTTCATTATTGCCAACTTCGGGTAGTGACTCAAAATTTTTGCAAATTTATTTTATGGTCGATTCAGCAAGACAAGTCGATCAGCGTTGTCCACACAACAATTCAGTGAAAAGAACAATTGTGGAACAACTCCAAACGTTTTTCCATCAACATAACGAATTGGTTGCATAAATTGACATTTATCAGGTTGAACCAGGCAAAGCTGCGTTCTGAAGAATACATTCATCTTCGGAATGCTATCAATGCTGACGGAAATGCAGAGAATGCAGGTAGAACAACTATTCTCCAAGCAACATACGTCGGAAGTCCGCGACATATGCATGAATACGCTCAGGATGCTATGCCGTATGTATGTAATTATGGCACACCAGATTTGTTTATAACGTTCACATGCAATCCAAAGTGGACAGAAATTAGACAAGAATTATTTCATGGCCAATCACCCATTGATCGCCACGACATTACCGCAAAGGTGTTCAAAAGAAAGTTAAAATCACTCATGGATTACATTGTTAAGCATCGTGTATTCGGCGAAACGCGATGTTTGATGTATTCAGTCGAATGGCAAAAGCGCGGATAGCCACATGCACACATCCTCATTTGGTTGGTAGAGAGGATAAGACCGGTTAAAATCAACGATGTCATATCTGCGGAAATTCCTAATAATGATGAAGATCCATTGTTATATGAGATTGTTACAAAAAATATGATTCATGGTCGCTGTGAAACATTAAATCAAAATTCTCCGTGTATGGTGAATGGAAAATGTTCAAAACGCTTTCCAAGCTAATTAGTAGCAGAAACTATTATTGGAAATGATGGTTACCCACTTTATCGCAGGTGATCCACTGACGACAACGGAAGGACAACAGTCAAAGTGAATCAGCATGACATTGAAGTTGATAATCGTTGCGTTGTTCCGTTTTCGCCGTTACTCTCCAAAACATTTAAAGCACACATAAATGTTACGCTATGTCAGTAGTAATGAGGCGATGTGGCGTATTTTTTCATTTCCAGTACATGAAAGATACCCCACTGTTGTTCATTTGGCCGTAAATCTGGAAAATGGTCAAAGGGTGTACGTTACAACGATTAACGTATTACAACGAATTGAGAGGCCGCCATCGACAACATTGACCAGCTTCATTGAAATGTGCCAGAATGATGACTTTACAAGAACACTTACAATTCCGAAATGCCACGATATTATACCTGGAATCAATCATTAAAGAAATTTCAACGACGAAAACAAGGCTAGCCAGTTCCAAATTACCAACAAGTATTTTCCACAGATGCACTAAGACGTCTTTACACAGTGCATCCCAGCCAAGACGAGTGTTTTAATTTGCGTTTACTGTTAGTCAATGTTCGTGGCCCAACATCATTCCAACATCTGCGAACTGTTAATGGTGAATTGTGCGGTACATACAGAGAAGCATGTCAACGTATGGGACTGCTCGAGAATGACACTCATTGGGACCACACTCTCGACGATGCTGTGATTTCGTTGGCGAGGTTCTTCACCGCGGCGAGTTCCTTTGCGACCACCACTATCGCAACGTCGTCCGCGAAGCCTACCATACTTTTACCGGCTAGCATCGGAAGCCTCAACACTCCATCGTACATGGCGTTCCAGAGCAGGGGTCCCAAGACGGAGCCCTGCGGGACTCCGGCTGAGACTTCGAATGCCCTGGAACCCAGACTCGTGTCCATCGTAAGCACCCTGGCGCTGAAATAGCTGTAGGCTATGTTCAGCAGGTAACCCGGGATGTTGAAGCCTCTCAGGGCCTCCAGCGTTCGGCTCCAGTCGGCCGAGTTGAAGGCGTTCCTGATGTCTAGTGTCACCACTAGACAGTAGGACTTGGTCCCGCCTTTCCACCTGGTTCCTGCGGCAGCCTCCTTTGCCGTTCTGACGACCTTCGAGATGGCGTCCAGCGTTGACCTTCCCTTCCTGAAGCCGTATTGGTTCGGGGAGAGACCGCCAGCAGCTTCGATAGCTGCACTCATCCTCGTTGCGATCACCCTCTCGAAGACCTTCCCAATTGTTTCCAGGAGGCAGATGGGCCTGTACGAGGAAGCCTCTCCTGGAGGCTTGCCCGGCTTGGCCAGCAAAAGCAGCCGTTGCCTTTTCCACCTCTCGGGGAAAGTGCCCTCCTGCAGACACTGGTTAAAAAGCCCAGCAACTTCCACCGGAAGCAGCGATAGTGCCAGCTTTAGCGCTCTGTTGGGAATCGCATCAGGGCCCGGTGCCTTTTTGGGCTTAAGGTGTCTGCCCTCCTCTACCGTGACCTCGGAGATCTCGTTTAGGCCAATCTCGGGCCGTGGAAAGCTCTCAACCTGTTGTCCTCGCGGGAACAGGGCGCTGACTATTCCCTCCAGTACCACGGGATCAGTTGGGGCTTTGCCGCCCGCGTTGAGCCTCTTCACCACCATTTTGTAGGCGCATCCCCAGTGATCTGCTTCGGCTGCGTCGCACAGCTTGAGGAGCACTCCCGTTTGCTGTCCCTGATGGTGTTCTTCAGCTCTTTCCGCGCCGCTTTGTAGCGCTCGATGCAAGGGTCTAGGCGCGAAGTGCCCCTGGCACGTTGCAGTAGCCTTCTGGCGCGGAGGCACGTTCTTCGGAGTTCTGCAATCTCCTCACTCCACCAGAACACCGGGACGTGGTGCTTCCTGAACGACCGCCTCAGAAGCATGCTCTGGTCGCAGGCATCTTCCACTGCGGCAGCCTGTCTGTTCGCCCTCTCGTTGGCTCCATCCGTCTCGGTTGCCGTGATGCTCTCCAGAGCGCCTACAAAGGACTGCGTCCTCAGGGTGTCCTGCCGGTACGCCTTCCTCTGCTGGGGTGGAGTCCCACCCCCTCGCCGGGGCATGCCTACCGAGCACTCGATGGCCTCGTGGTCGCTGGCGGTGTAGACATCGCTGATCCTCCATCGGGCGTGGCGTGCCAGCGAGCTGCTGGCGTATGTTAGGTCGATTACCGACCCCGCGCCTGCCCTGTTGAAGGTCTGCTGGGACCCTTCGTTGAGCAGGACTACATCCAGAGAGGCGAAAGCCTCCAGCACCGTGCGGCCTCTGGCATTTGTTCGGGATGACCCCCATTCCTGGGCCCAGGCGTTGAAATCGCCCCCGACCACGACGTTGCTCCGTCCTCGCAGGTCGCTACTCAGCTCATCCAGTATCCGGCTGAATGTTTCCAGCGAGAGACTAGGTGCCAAGTAGCAGCTATATAGCCAGATCCCGCCTACACTCGCACGGACGAATCCTTCTGCCGACTTGGTGTCGCGCATCTGTGGCGCCTCCGCTCCGCAGAGCCACAGGGCCGCTTTGCCAGAGCGGTCCGTGGCCCATTCGCTGCTGCTGCCCACCCTATAAGGCTCGCTGAGGATTGCCACCTCCGAACCCAGTTCGCGCACCGTCTGCGCCAGGAGATCCTGCGCAGCTCTGCAGTGATTCAAGTTGAGTTGAATCACCTGCATTTTGGTCTGGAGTTTCCGACCCCTCTGCTTGAGGCTGGGCAGCTTACGCTGCCTGCCTGGTGCCTGACCTCCTTCTTTGCAGCTGCTGAGCAGATGAAGCACGATGGCTCATTGCTGCACTCGGCTGCCTTGTGCCCCTGCTCTCCGCATTTGATGCAGCAGCCGCTCCTATCCACCGTGCTCTTGCAGTTACCCGCAATGTGCCCGGGTTCCAGGCATCGGTAGCACCTTGGGAGACCTTCTCTCTCCCGGATCCTGCAGACGGTCCAACCGATCCGCACCTCACCGCGCTGTAGGACGGCTTTACCCAAGGAGAAAGGCAAGCTGACCACTGCCATCTGTGACTCTGCGTAGCTGCGGTGCAGGCTCCGCAGGCTTCATGGCCTCAGCGCTCTCCACACTATCTTTGGCCACCTCCAGCAGAAGATTGCCGTTGATGGTTCGGCGTACCTTGCTGACGCAGCTTCCCAGGTCCGACAGCTGCTTGTCCTCCCTCTTAGTCACCATGGCCAGTACCTCGCTGTATGACTTGCCGCCTGCCTGCACCACGATCGCGTCTGGGCGTGCGCGGCGTGCAGTCCTCGGCTTTTTGGCTACCACGTTCCATCCGCTCTCCGGGTTCTCTGGGCTCTCGGGGTTCCTAGCAGCGCTGTGAGTGGCGTCCTCTTCTTGAGGCTCCATTTGGGGCTTTCTTCGGGTCCTCCTGTGTGCTGGGGCGCCTTTCCGCTGCGCTGGGCGTGGGGGTGGCGGAACCAGCTCCGCTACCGATGCTTCCTCCACGACCGGCTGGCTCAGCCTTCGCCACGGCTCCGTCTGCGCTGCGGCCTTCTTGGTCCAGACTTTCGTCGTCTGCTGCTCTTTATCAGCGCTCTGTGTGCTCTGTGAGCATTTCGGGCACATGAATTCGGCGTTGTGGCCTTCCTGCCTGCCGCCTTCGCCCTTTGCGGCTGCTCGCCTCGCCTCGAGGATGCTCGAGTGAAGCACCTTCATGCGCACAAATGTCGCCCTCGTGGGGATGGTGATGTGGCGCGACGCCTTGTCCATCATTTTGGTGGTCACCTCCTGCAATAGCTCCCCCAACTCCACGAGGTTTTCAAGGCAGGTTGCCTCCTGGGAGGCCTTGCTCTTCTTGGGCGGCGTCGTTATCTGCGAGCTTGCCGGGCTGGCAGGGTCTCTCGTCCTCCCTAGTGTCCGGGTCCGTGCTCAGTCCCGCTGCTGGAGTTGACGTGGATGGTGGCGAACGGATGAGCGAGCTGCCCGCGAAAGGGTTTGCTGCTTCCATCTCCTCTGCTTCTTGGTCTGCACTAGGTGGCTCCCGCGCTGGCCACATATTTCCCCTTGGCTTCACGATGGGGGATATACCGCCCCTCCCCGGTCACCGACGTCCCGTTGACCGGGACACCGCCTGAGCGTGGGATCGGAGGTTGGTCGGGTCCGTGACCTTTTCCCACGTGCCACCTGTGCTGCCTGGTTAAGCCTCGAAGTATGCACTTCCTTCATTGCCTCGTGTTCAGCCAGGGGGTATGCAATGCTTTTGCGTGATCTGCAACTTTCTTGCACCCTGACAGCTACTGCCTGCTACGGTGGAGTCGTAGCCGATGGGTGCCAGCTGGTAGATTTATGCACTACCCAGCACTATCGATCGTGGTCAGCTGTTTGGCGAGTCGGCGAGGAAAAGGAAAGCAAAATTGCGCGTGGAATTTCTTTTATTGTTGCTAGGAGAACAAAAGGAGAGAGCGTGGAACAGTGTTGAGTGTCCCCTCCGCCCCTCCTCCTGGGATGGAGCACCGCTTCTGCCTGGTAGAAGCGCTCGGAGATGTTCCCCTGGCGTGTAGGCCTGGCTCGGTACGTACCCCTTCCCTTTGGACTCCTCTTTCTTACACTTCCCCTGTTTTTTAGGGAGGTTCTTCACCTGCAACTTGGCACTTTCACTGGAGTATTTAAAAACACGACCGTTCACTTTCGGTAATACTCCTTCTCTCCAAAAAAAATCTCAAGGGCTGTCGCTAATTGTTTGTGGCATTAATCTTGAAAATCAATGTTTTTCGCATGGCCAGTTATATGTCGCTTGTTCTCGAGTCGGAGTACCAACCAAAGTATTTATATACGCGCCAGAGAAAAAAACAAAGAATGTTGTTTATCATAAAGCATTACAATAATAAACACTTTCTTTCTGAAATATTTTTTAGTTAATGATACCAATTCGAAATCAATATTTATAGTTAAGACAGCACAACGTCTGTCGGGTCCGGTAGAAATGATTTTCATTTGGAACAAACGGATAAAAAGGCGCATCTGAAAAATTAGTTTACTGTCGGAAAATCGAAAATTATAAAAATATATATATCACATTTTGTGTTGTGACAGGCAGCATTTGATAAGCTGGCAAGTGCATTTGTCAGCTTTTCAGAAGTGCAAAGTTCTATGCAACCAGATATAAGATACTTAAGTCATGTGAAAAATAAAAGCACTAATTTCAGGTAAAATTCGTTTTGAGTCGTTTTGGTCAAACGGCTGCAAGTTGACCGTTTATCCATAGATTTTAATGAAAAATACCTTAAACGACGCCTAAATACTAGACGCATTAAAACTAAAAATGCATGACAAGAATTATTTTTTTTTAGACTTTTCCCGAGTTTTTAAAGTCGAAATTTCGAAAAAAAATACCAAAAAATTATGAAATTTGAATTTAAAAGCTTAATATCTTCCAGGCGTTAAGCTGCAGCTACAAATTGTCTGGGTCGGATTTATAGCTGCGCTTCAGCTTTTCAGAACTGCAAAGTTCTATGCAACCAGATATAAGATACTTAAGTTATGTGAAAAATAGATGCACTACCTCTGAAAAAAAACATTA